TTGGGGTGTCCCCTCCCGGCAGGCTGGGTCTGCCGAGCCCTGGCAGCACCGATGCCGAGTTGCTGCTTCTTCTGGTGGGGTGGGCAGGTCGCCTCAAATCCTGCCCAGGCTAGACCGTGAGCACTCCTATGCAGTGGACCAGGCTCGGGGGGCAGTGCTGGACTTGTCCTTGTCCTGTAGCGAGGATGAAGCTGACTCAAGGTGGCGGTGGCTCTCTGGGGCTGCCTATTCCCCAGCCTGGCACTTGTGGTGTCGAGCATGCCAGTGCTGATGGGAGAAGGCACGAAAATCTTGCCCGTCAGTGAGGTGCACAAGAGGACAGATGCTGGCAGCCATTGGGAATGTGCCTCAGTTTCCCTGCCTCTACTTTAAGATCTCTACCATGGGTTTTTCTCAAGGTACATCCATTAGGGCTTGCGCAGTAAAAATGTGGTCCCAACAGCATCCCCCTCCCCCTGTTAGAGGCTCAACACCACAGAGCACAAACCCTGGGCACAACGCCCCACCCTGGGAGCATCCTGACCCTGAGGGACCAGAGCAGCCCCAGCGGGAGGAGCTCAGGGGAGCTGACCCCAAGCGGGGCCTCGGTGGGGCGAGGGGAGCGGGGCAGAGCAGACTGCCGGCAACGGGCTGCATTCGCCTGCATGCAGGCATGGCAGAGCAGGTATGATTCATTCCCTCTTCTGCAGTACAGTTTATGTAAAGCAGCACTGTATAAATAGCCAGATCATCCTGTAATGTGCTCCTGGCTTTTTAATTAATGATGTTTCTGCTGGAGCTTTTGGGTCGGGTGGAGGTGAGAGGAAGCTGGCTCATGGCTGAGCACTGGAGGAGCTGCTGACAGCTCTCAAGGGGAAGATGCCGGTCTGTCGGAGCAGTCACAGCCATCTCCTTTAACCCGAGTGAGAGCAGTGACAGATGGGGGGTGAACTGCCTGGCAGACCAGTAGGCTGAAAGGTTGGCCTGAGGAGTGAAAGCAGTAGCCAACATCTCAAGATTTTGGTCACCTTCTGGCTTATACGTGGACTTGCTCATCCGCCCTGGGGTCAGGCATCCCCTGCCCTGAGCCGGAAAGCATTGTCTTTCTCCCTGTGATGCTGTGCCGCTGGGGGCATCACGGCCAGGCCACACGTCCCGAAGAACCAGGTGGCTTCTTGAGCCCCACCACCTGGCCCAATCTCTGGGTCAACCTTGAGCCCTGCTCACCCTGGGGTCTGCACCGGAGGCTGCTGCAGAACAGCTGCGGTGAGTGCCCTCACCTCCCAAAAATGGGATTTTATTCATTGCAGCCAAGCTTTGACAGCAGGTCAAAGGACAAGTGAGGTGGTGGGGAAGGTGTCGGTGCTGGGCTCTGCTCCATGGGCTTTCACAAGGTGCTGGGATCACTCCTCTTCAAACGCCTCTTCCTCCGGCTGCGAGCTGGGGAAGCTTGGGTTTGGGTTTCTTGTTGGGTTTCTTTTAAGGCAAACCTCATCCTTTACATCAAAGTAATATTTCTTCTCAAGAATGTAAAGAATGACCCTGGAAGGTCTGAGTGGCTCTTTCCCAGCGGTGATTGGAGAGACAAGAGCCTTCTCCAGAAAGCTGTCTCCACCCTGTCCCCAGCAACAGCAATTCATAAGCTGAAAAATAAATCAATAACCAGAGTTAATGAATTGAAGATGTCTGTGTTTAAAATGTATCAGGAAAAAAACTGTTAGCTGGTTGCAGTTGGCTTAATTATTGTGAGGAGGAGCGGGGGAGCTCTCATTTCTGAGAAATACCTTCTCTCCTTTCTTTTATTGGACATATTCTGTTTGGTCGCAGCCGGTCAGGACTCGCGAGGAGAGAAGGATTGGCTTTAGTGATGTGTGTAGGTTCAAAGCCTCCCCCCAGCTCTGTCCCCCATCCCCCGGGACCTCTATGGGATCATTCCTGTCCCCTTCCCGGTCCAGCCCGGGGCTGAGCGGTGGGAGCAGGTCAGGCTGGCACAGGGCTGGAGGAGGAGGAGCAGCAGTGGTTGTGCTGGTGTACGTGACAGGGCTGGCAGACAGCACCAGTGCTACCATCCTGGTTGTGTGCTCAAACTGGGATGTCCCAGCTCCCTGGATTGCTCCTCCTGCTCCCAGCCCTGCTCCTGGTGAACTGGCAGCAGGGACGGGTTGTGGCACCACGTCGGGCTGTGAGACAGGGGTGAGGGCAGGGGCTTTGTCAGCGCAGATGGGTCTTGCAGCTGAACCCATTTGCACGCACACATTTCTATTTCCTCCACCGAAACATCTTCGACATGGGCTGATTTCCATGTCAGCCCTCAGCAGGAAAGCCCTCACAGTGTTTGAGCACCCTGGCAGGGAGGTCAGAGGGGCTCTGGGGTTTCTCCAAAGGAGCATGTGGCTGTGGCAAAGACTGCTCTTTGTTTCTCTCCACCAATCCTCCCCTGGCTGCTTGACCACTCTTGGACAAGAAGCAGAAGCAGCCGGTGTTTCTCCAGCATTAGCCATCCCCGGTTAGCATTGGGGCAGCAGCCTGCAACCTAGGGAGGTGATTTTGCTGCAGCGGGGAGCAGGATCTGCTGCTAACTCAGCCTGCCAGGCTTGCAACTTTGGTTTCACTAACAGCACGCCATGGACCTGTGCTGATCCTTGGCTTCACGAAGCAATGCCAAACCTGCTTCTTCCCCCTGGGGCCAGTGCCACCCTGTCCCGGTGTTGCTGACACTCTGGAGCCCTCTCCTTTCAGCTCCGAGCGTCCCCTGGCTTTGTGCCATGGGCTGGCACTGGGAGCCAGGGTGCTTCGGTGACATTAACGCCTTTCCTCTTCCCTTCCCCAGGTCGGAAAGCAGCCTCTCTAGGTTTGCCCACCGCTTGTCGGTTAAGCAGAAGCAGGAGAAGAGAAGGAAAGCTGAGTATGCCTCAGCCGAGCTGTCTGCCTTCCGGCCCAGGTCTCTGAGCATTGAATGGTAAGAGCCACAGGGCAGGGCTGGGGGAAAGGAGCTCCTGCCTCTCCAGTCCCCCTCGCACCCCCCGTCCCCACCCCTGCCACTCTCCCCCCTCGCATCCCCTGTCCCCACCGCTGCCACTCTCTGTCCCTGTCTGAGCAACGTCCCCTGGGACTGCACCCCTCCAAACCCCTCTGTCTGCTACAGAGGCTCTGCCGGGGTATCAGAACACCCCCTCTTGCCTCACTGCAGGGAGCAGCGGGGAGCCCTGGGTGGCTCTTTCCTTTGGGGGCTGTGGGGAACCCCCCAGATTGAGCCACGGGGGTCTTTTGG